ATCTCTTTCTTTCCTTTATTCCTGCATTTGAAAAGCTTGGCCAATTTATCAACTTTGAGGCTTTCTGGAGGATTTTACAATACAGCTTTGGGGATAAAGGGGTTGAAAGTTCTAGCGGCCACAACTGCACACTGAAATAAAGTAATGCAGGCTGCTTTTAAAAGATGAAGTGAGAAAGAATTATTCATGGTACTTTTTTGGCTGTCTGAACCTCCAGAATGACTGGCTAAACCAGAACAGACGGTGGTAGGAGTGAGTCAATTCTGAAGGGATAACACAATTTCACTGCTTAAGCATTATTGATTAATAGACTGAAAGGAAGCTACGCTACAGCTATGTTTTGGTTTTATCTTTTTTGCTTGTTTATTTGTTTTCCACAGGTTTCTCTAACTGCAATCTGGTTAGTTCCCTGAGAAGACAGGTACTGAGTTATTTACCTCCAGAGGTGCAAAAGTCCAGAGACTCTGCATCCAAACCAGAAACCCAGTTGCCCTGAGAACATCTATAGATGCAAAGATTTCAACTACCTAAGCCAGGGTTGGCATGACCCAGAAGGACCTGGTTTTGACTGTTACTGGACATTGTAGACCATAATTTTTTCTGGTCTTCCTGCAGGTTTGTTCCAGACAAACATGCTCGAACAGGCATGCCAAAAAAATGGGTGTTTGATTAAAATTCTCTGCCATGGTTAAGGTTAAGAATGGAGTGAAACAGTTAAGTACACTTTGAAAACGCAAAGAAAGATAGGATATAAACAAGCAGATATTTCTTTAAAACACAGCTTTGAAAGATTCACTTTAAAGTAATATATTTTTAAAAGCAAAGCTCCTGACTTTTTGCTGAATTACTTATATTTGATTTAGATGGGAATACATTAATTGCATGTAATATGCTTGGAATATGTGGAAAATAACCTTTTTTTTTTCCATGTGAATCAGCACAGGAAATGATCTGCAAATGAGTAAAACGCTGAGAATTCTACAGATGGAGGTTTTTCTTAAAAAGTACACAATATTTTTCAACTGTAGAGTACTGACATCATGTTTTCTTCAACAGTGAGGTGTCACAGAGATGATTGATGACACACCAGAGACTGAAGAGGAGCAAGAACTTGCTTCTGATCAGAATAGTTTAAGGCTGTAATATGATGTAACATTAATCTAACAATATCTATCTTTGCTGGTGATAGGCGGTTTTGCCTCCCGTAATTTGCCGCTGCCAAAGCTTACCGTTCTTGCTAAACACAGAAAATAGTAGATAACACCATGCAAACTCAACAGGTATCTGACTTGGTTTTCTTTTCACTGTGATGTAAAATAAAAAACTCATAAAACCAGTGTCTCCTAAATGATGATCGAGTAATACATTCCACAAGACACTTTGATTTTCAAATTTTCCCTTGCTGGGGTTAGATATTAAAATAGTAATAAATACTACTACTAAAACCAGCAAATTAATGGTTTTCTAAGAGATGTACTGTGAGAGGATGTTCAAGGGTGGATATGTTTAGGAAAATATGTAGCCCTCCATGAGCTGAAACCTCAGTCCTAAACTAACCGATGTTAGGCACTCACAGCAGCAAAACAGTGAGTGGGAGAAAGAAGTACAGAGTCTGCTCCAACGCACTATTGACTTGCTCTGAAATTATGTGAATTATTACTGTTGAATTCATGATTAGAAATGATGATTTTATTGGAGAATTAGATGCTGTAAGAAGGCCCCATTAATGTAAAATGGATTCTGCATGCACTCTTCAAAGCTCCCTCAAATGTGAAATTTCCTCCATTATTTCATTTGACAGAAAATTACTGCTTCTGTATCAAATTTTCCTTCTGTTTACTGAGGTGGAACTTGAGTCCCAGTCTAGTGCAATTAGTAGGAACATTCCAGCTCCTGCCTTTAAAGTGAGGTATGAAGCACACTATTAATACTCTTTTTTTTTCATTTCTGAAATCTAACCAATAAACAGATTTTCTTTTAAATATGTTTCATTGCACTCTGGGATGCATGAAAAACATTTGAAAGAGTAAGTTTACTGGTACATATATACTGATTGCACTGCATCCCAATGGCAATATTTGGCTCACAGTGCCCAGGAATCAAAGAGAGATGATGCACGTATTTTCTCCTAGTAAGATATTATTTCAAGTTAATTTTGCTGTGAAAAGAGCAGCACAGAGAACCTTCTGCCTCTGTTCCATGTGTCCTGTTCGCTCTGAAGCTACAGACGGATTCTGCCACATGAGTGAGACTGAAGCAGTCGCTGCACGTTCATGCTGTGCACTGTTCATTACACTGCCGTGTACCAAACAGAGCTGCTCAGTTCATAGTTCAGAGTGCCATTTAAGGTGAACCTGGTGGCAAAATTGGAACCATCTAAAGTCAAGACACAATTTTCCTGGAATCTTTCCTCCAGTCATAAAAACATGTATCATGTCTTTGCCTTTATTGTCATCAATGAGGAATTTAAAGACATAGACTCATTACTCTTAAATGTCACTGCCTGTGAAAAATGCAAATACAGAGAACAAATAGGCTCCATGTTTCGAGAATAAATTCAGAGTCCCTGAACAGAAATTAGGCTTTTTCAGTCTGTCTTTGAGAGCAGGCTTGACCGGGTTTCCTGAAAGCTGCCTGTTTTGCCTCTCTACTCCTATAATCCACAGTTGTACAACCTATATGGATTAATTGAACGTCAAATAGCAACATCGAGATCTACCACGCTGCTTAAAATACAATACAGCAAAACTAGGCATGACTGCAGTAAGGATCAAAGCGAGAAGATGGCAGGAACAGAGATGTTTTTCTATTAAAATTAGGGCATCTATACTCTAGGGCATCTTAAGGTAAAACCCTCAACATCTTTTCTGCCTAACCTCCAAGCAAAGATGAGCTGGAGGAGGTCAGAGCAATTCACCTGAGTCAGACTGCTACCAGACAAAATAGGTCACATTAGTTTCTTCAGCAATTATAAAAGGCTTCTTTAGCTAATGAAGTGGCTAAGATAGAGAACAGAAAAATGAAACCCTGAGCAGAGAGAACAGAAAAAAGTTCAGAAAGCACGGGGGCGGTTAAAGCTGATGTTTTGAAGCTTAAAGCTGTGCTTCAGGACTTTCCTATTCCAGGCAGACTCAGAGTGCCCAGCAAAGGAGAAGGGCAGGAGTGTTTATGAACTGGATTTACTCTCTGCAAAGTTTGCTGCCAGCAATAATCTGTCATGAGCAGCAGTATTTTGAAACACTGCTGCTGAGTCATGCAGATTTGTGATGATATTTATCTCCATACAACTTCACAAGAAGCCAGAAATTCAAGGAACTTATATCTGCAGTATATGTTTCTGAAAATAAGCTTTGATAGGTCATCCATCCACATTACTGAAGGAGACAAATTCTGAGTCTTTTCCCTATATAAAGTTATTTCAATTAACTACTCTTCCAGACTTACTGTCAATTTCTGGAACTTCCCTGATACTGATACTTTTCTGCTTCTCTCTTTCATTTATTTTACCACTTCAAGTAAAAAAAAAAAAAAAAAAAAAAAAAATGTGATTAAAATTCCTTAGTTTCCTTGGATTTAGTACAGCTGTGGTGAAGCGAGAATATAAGTTAATTTATGGAACCAAGATGGTCTTGCATCAGTTTTAATGTTCTGTAGACAGCTGCCTTTTCCAAAGACCACAAATTCCTCACACAAGTGGGGAACACTGAGCACTCTCATTTGAAAAATGATCAGTTCTATCAACATCTTTCAAGAACTTACCATACTGTTACCTAAAAGGCAGTGAATTCCATGCCAAGGGACATAAGCTTCTGACAGTAAGCTATACAAATTACAGACAATACTTTGTACTCAAAGACCTGTACTACTTCTACATGAAGCTAAATCAGTATTTAACTCCTTGTTCTACCTAAAAGGTGAAAATTGTGTCACTCACACTGGCAAATTGCCACTGAATTTACTCCTGCTCTACTGTGCTGGGACAAGTAGAAGGAAGACCAAACTGTGTGCACTAGCCACAAGGATGTGAATTTCCCGGATCAGATTTCTGAATAGCAGCTCCTGCAGCTTCCCACTGAGGTGACCTTGCAGGTTCTACACCTCCAGGCACTTGTACTTCCCTCTTGACCTCTCCTTGCACAGCCCTATGGATGATCTGCATGAAGGCTGGCTTTTTAGGTCTTCACACTGCACTGAAAATTACCTTACGAGCAGGGTTCAGCAGGGAATTTTTTTCTGCACACTAGAGACAATAACAAAATTATCTCCTGTCTGTAAGTCAGTCAGTTCCTGGCCAGAACTTACATACTCATGGACAGCTTCAGAGAGCAGATAGGCCTGTCTTTCAGAGGTATAAATTAGTAGGAGGTTTTGTGCATATGAGGGATCAGGCTGAAGAAACTCAAGAAAGTCCGCAGTGTAAATTAGGCTGTTGTATTTGGTTTTTGACCTGGTCTCCCAAAATATTCATCCTAGACAGCCAACACCCACACCCACACAAGCAGATAAGAGCCTACCACCCAGCAGATGCTACTTCTTGTCCCTTAAGTGACATTTGGGACAGCTGGGGGAGGTAAGTATGGTCACTGTGGAAGGGAACTGGGGCAATGCAGGGTGTGAGGGCAGACAAGAGAGATAAAATTACTGCCGATTAGGCATCAGTGGAAAAGAGTGAGGATAGTGGCCACATTTGCAATATGCTGCTCCTAGTGTAGCATACAACTTGTGCTTTGTGCTCTGTATAACATGAATGACAGACGAGTTTGATTCCAGCTGAATCCTTCACCTGTTATTTCTCATAACAGTATGTGTCTACAAGGCAAGATATCTGTCAACAAACGTAGAATTTGTGTTATCCTGTGGCAGATATGACATAAATCCAGAACCTCTCTGTGTGAATATTCTCAAGCAGACATCTCACAGGCTCACAGAAGTTAGAGAAAGATCATCCTGCAAGTTCTAGCACGGACACACAATGAGATTTTAAATAAAATGTTTCTTACCGACAATCATATGGTTGCAGACATCACAGAAGGTTGGTTTTTTGAAGATGTGCTCCTGGAAGATGTGAGTCTTGTTGTTTTCTGACAGCTGTTGGGCTCTGGTGGGCGAAGATGCCTGGCTTTCTGAGTTGGGGAGCTGCCCAGTGCTTGTGCTCACCTCAGGCATCAAGTCTACTTGCAGTTTCACATCACTATTAGTCCTCTGGAAGAAATTGTCTGCACTTTTACTCCGCAAGCTTTTTGTCTTGAAGGAGAGAGATCGTTTCAGCTTCTGCAGCTGCAACAAATAAACCAGTTATAATTACTATTTTTTCTACTGTGAAAGAAATGCGAGGCTCTTGATTTTGGGGTGTGCTGTTGCCAAGTGAACCTGGGAGCTACTGTCAGACCTTGAATCACCTGAACAATAAAACTGACTTTAAGATTTAACCATCAGTTTCTGAGCAAAGAAAGCAGATCCCAATCAGAAAACAACTTACCCTACACATGTTTTCTGATGGCAGAAATAACTTGATAGTTCTAATGAATGCTTCTTCTGGTCTTTATTTGCATGTACAACAAAAAAGAAGTATTGCTGAAAGTTATAGGCATTGGAGAATATACTCTTTGTATTCAAGCATGAGGGAGTTTAGAGCATTATTCATCCTCTAAGAGTACTTAATCAGCTTGTAAAGCCATTACAGGAATAGCTGTTAAATGGTAGTACATGACAAGTGAATTCAGTAAATATATTTGATATACTTAAGTTTCTTGAATTTGGCAGAAACAAAGATTATAGGCATTTTATATTATATGTATTTTAGATTATATGCATTTAATTAGCTTTGACTAAGAAATTCTACTTTTATTTATTTTTTTGAAGGACAGAAGTCTTAACAGCAGTAAGAGGGTAATTAGCCGGCCAATTGATTGTTAATTAATACTAGTTAGCACACATTCACCTATGTTCTTGTACATTGTGTGTTGATTGTCAGACTATCAAGCACCATAATAAGGCATTACTAAATTAGAGTGGTTAACTCAAACTCTGTAAATGCTCTTGTGCCATATCAGCCATCCTCTCGTTTTTCATCCTCTTCCCCAATTTTGTGAACTTGGTTGGGAAGGGTACTGGAAAAGGCACCAAAATGATCAGGAAATTAGCCACACAAATTTGTGGGTTTGTCAGCTCCAACATCCCACAAGGAGAGGCCAGGTAAAAGGAAAGCCAGCTCAGAGTCTGCTTTGTGTTTGCCCTTTGTGAAGTGCAATAATTCTGTATTACCTTTCACTCGGCATTATTCAAACCACTGCAAAATAATTTCAATCACGGCTGCTATTCTCTGGGTGAATGTGATGTAACAATTGAAATTTTCCATGCCACTCAGGCTGTCTGTGGTAACCAGCAGGAATGGTTTATATTAGAAACTGTTTATGTTAGAAACAATGATTATTTGGAATCATAATTCACACTAATATAGAGGGAGGGAGTTTACATGCTTTCCCAAAAAAAGCATAGACCTGGTACGTCACACTGACTCAGTGGCCTCAGAGTATTTGCTCTCCCTAGGTTCTGTTCCTGATCCATCTGATTTCTTTATGATGTGGCTGACAGCACACTGTCGGAGAGGAGAGTCAAGACACTCTGGGGGGAACCGTCTCTTCCACTTTCAGAAACAAGCAGCTTGTTCCTGGAGAGGGAGACACCAGCTCTCTACCCAATGCTTCACAATAAAATCCCAGAGTCATAGAAATGGACAAGGAGCTGCTGTTGGCTCCAGTTAACAGTGTTTAGGATTACTAAATGGAAGCAAACTGCATTCTGCTTCCTGAGCTGATCCTCTACAGTGGCTTTGGTAGTAGGGAGGCATCAGAGCCTGGAGCCCACCCCACATTCACTCTCTCACCCAACAACTCATTCTGGGAGGAGCCCAGGATCCAAAAGAGGGAAATACCCATTTGCAAGAAACTCTCAGTCTCTAAGGGAAGGTGAAAATAAGAGCAATTAAGTAATTAAATGCCAACTATGAGGTAAATGCAGTTTATGGTTTCTGACGCTCTTTCAGCTGAAGACTAAGTCATGGACTGATTGAGCCTAAAACTCAATGTAAACTGCTCTGTCAGAATGTGAGATCTTGCCTCTTCCTCTTGGATGTTAAGTTACAGGGTCTTGAAATCACTGAGGTTATTCAGCTCTGAGATTACTTCATCTCACCAGTGACAGCCAAGATCTCAACAATAATTCACCTCCTTGCTCCTGAAACCTTTCTCACTGAAGTCAGACCTAATTAGTGTAGCAAAACACAGAGAATTACACCACCACAAGGTGACTGAAATGGCATCCATCATTGATTTGCCATCCATTCCTACAGTGCCATATGAAGCTAATTAAATTCCAAAAACACTGTTCCTGACAGAAAAGGAAACCTAAGCTGTGTGATACAGTATTTGTTTTATCGTGAAACAGCAGTCCTGCTTGTTTGGACAATGTATGCAGTACATTTTAAGAAGCTTTGCATTTACTATCCTTATCCCATTCTTCTGTGCACAGCTATTTACCAGCCGAGGAGGGATCTACCAGCAGTTTTATCTCCACCAAGCAGAAAAGTCAAGTTTTCCAAAGAAGACTAGTCCAGCATTCAGGCTACACCTCCCCAAACTTACAGATAAACATTCAGTAGCATGGAACTGCATATTCTGTGCATTCCCTCTCAGAAAGTTCAGAGGACACATACCCAGGAATGAATTGAGCAAGTTACCTTCATATATTTGACAGGTATCTCTGCACAAGCTGATAGTCCTTTCTGAAATTCACTGAGCACCATCCTGTGTTCATGTGGGTAAATAATTCCCAGCCAAGATGGGCATTCTTGTCAGTAGCCAAATACAAATTTCATGCCCATTTGCATTCAGACTGGAAGACACCTACATGTTTGGCTTGTGTTGCATACCTAAAACACCAGTGGAAGTCTGGGACTATTACATCCCAAACAGGTTATATGTGTAGATAAGTGACTCTGAGAAAATGAAGAATATTGCCAAAATTTAGCACATTGCACAACTAATTACACATTTTAATGTTAAAAATACCTCTCAGATCTGCAGGTTTTATTTTACTTCATGAGTAAGAGGGAGTATACAGGGCCATAGAAGATTGGCATCAGGTTTTAAAATCAGATCCAACTTTCCTTTCTCATATTAGGCTCATGAGAGAATTTGAAGTAGGGCAATGGTATGTGATTGTTTACTTAGGAAAAGTTGGTCCAAGCAAGGGCAAGGGCTGGTTGTTATACATGTATAAACTATAAAACCATAAAAGCTTAAGTAATTATTAGACTGCAGTTGAGTAAGCATCACTTCCCTTACTTAAATATCACCATCTCCTCATTTTGAAATTTGCTGTGGATTATCCTCATAATTTTATTGCAAGATTTCAAATGTAATTAAATACAAGTATATAATAAATGTCTGATTTTAGTCTGCTGTAAACTGAGTTAATGCACTTGTGCTGTCACAGCTGCTATAACATTTACCTGAGGTGGGAATCAAATCTTTTAATAGAGAGAAACTTATGAAACTTTATTATTTATACTTTATTTCTGCAGAGTGAATGAGTCCAAAGTTAAAGCTTATGAAGAAATACTACAAAACCTTGGGAAAAAACCCTGCAGCTAGGGCTGTTCTACACTCAATACTTAACTGTTCCGTGAAAAATCATGTATTGAGACTGAAACAACCCCTTGACCAAGCCCAAAAAGGCTTTAAGAAACAAATTTGAAATAAATCTCCTTAGACTTTCACATTTTCTCTATTGTGAACAAGGCTGCAATTTAGCTTTCATTTAAATAAAAAACCCATTCCCAAAAGTACAGGAGGTTTTCTAGACTTGTGTTAGCATCACAAGACTTCACAATGTTGACACTTCAGAAACATGAGCCCTTGATATTAAAGCCAGGAAGGTCCTGTGGTTTGAAATTAGAGTAAGAGAAAAATCTTTGTTTCTAGTTAAAAGCTTTTCATCAGTCACACAGATTCTCAGTGACTGCACATACTAACCCCACAGGCAAGATAGAGACAAGTGCAATAGCTCAACCTCAGATCTTGATTATCCTTTTTTTTCCTGTATCTTGCAGCACAATCTCAAATTTCCTCCAAGTCACTGAATGTTCAAGCTTCAAGGGATCAGGAAGCTCTGTTATCAGCTCTCCTCCATTCCTAATTCCCCTATACAATAATTCTTTAGCTGCTATAAGCAGAAAACAGGAGGCAGAAAAAGAACAGCTATTCAGATTCATTGCAAGTATTAGCTATGTGCCACTGCTTTTACTGTGAATGGGAATTGCACCTGCTCGCACCAGGACTTTATTTGATGTAATTGTTGGAAAAACCCAGCGTTTTTCTACAATCCTCATTTAAGAAGTTCCCATGAAAATCGGAAAGATGTAAGTGATTTGAGCTGTTTTATAATCCCTAGCTTTGCAATTACAAAGATATGCGTCCACCCTGCAGAGTACTTTATTCAGGCTCCTAAGTGCTCCCTGATATCTAGGAACAATTTTGCCCTTGATTCTCCAGCTTGTCTACATTAGCAGCCAGCAGGGCTTGGTAGAAGCAGATGGGAAGAATGAGGCAGGGGCTGTTGAGCACCCAGCATGCACCCATCAGGTTATTTCCCAACACACTTGGTCTTGTTGCCTTCTCAGTCTCTGCTAAACATCCCTGCCAGCAGCAGAGGCTCCTGTGCAGTGTGGGGCCAACGGGGAGATTGTTTTGTACATTTCCACTCAACTATTTTCCAGGAGATATGAATAAATGAGTCCCACTTATCAGCCCTAATTCACTGACTGACCATAAAACCAAGCCCTTATTTTCATATATCAACTGTTTGCTGTATTGTGACTGGACTAGAAATAAACAAAATAATATTGCTTACTGTTATCTATCGCTTTCTTTACACTGATGTTAACAGTATCATTAGATCCACTACAAGTAATTCAGGGTATTACCAGAGTTGCAATGAGCTATCAAGCCAGTTAGAATCCTGCAAGCCTTATAAAATGTAGCTATTTGTTTAGTATGTAGACTAAAAATGCTCTGTCAACAGATTTCACTCTGCTGTGAGATAAACATCCACCTTCTGTGAGGAACCATTTCTTCTTCCTCGCAGCTTCTTAGAGCAAATTTCCAAGTTATTTGACTCTCACATTGTTATAAAAGAAAGGCTTCGACACACATGACTCAGATGATGTTGTGTAGATTTGCTAGAGAGAATGTCAGGTACAGGGTCTGTTACCAAAA